GAGTCAACTTAACTGGTACAACATTTTTGGGCAACACTAGTACAAAGTGACAGTAGGCTTGAACAAGGAATGCTGTATTTTTGTTTTAGTTCAGCTCATACATTATGAATTGAGTCTGTCCAGCTGAGGTAAAGCAACATAAAGGACGGAGACTAAACAGAGTTAAGAATGCATGAGTTGAGTTTTGTGATGAACCTGACTTCCACACGTGGCGCACACACAGATACAGCACAGCATTTGTTGTTTTTGGTCCTGTTTCAGAGAACTTACGTGAGCACGGTAATGACCTCTCCCTCCACTACCTCCCCCAAACTCCCCTCACTCATTTTTTTCCCTCTATCTCCTGCACTGTCGTCTCCTCAACACCTTCCCCTCCCCCCCAGTGCTCGCGCCAAGTTGGCCCTCCATCCCGCCTACACGCACATACACACACACACAAACACACACACACAGCAGTAGCTGCCCGTGACATTCCTGCAGCTGCGGCGCTCTCTCTCCCTCACACGCGCCCCCCCAGCGTTCCCCCTGGGGGACGAATGCCTAATGAGTCACGCGCCTGTCTGCCGTTACCTCGCAGCGTGGATTGTGTGTGTATGGGTGTGTGTGTGTGTGTGTTCACCGACGCTGGCTGGAGCTACAGCAGGGCGCTGCATCTTCAAGAAATAATGCAAGGAGAAAAAAAGAAGAAGAAAAAACAGAGACCCTTGTTTTTGCGCTTTTCAAACGAGAGCTCTTTTGAATAAAGTTAAAAAGAAAAGAAGCTTCATATAATTTCTGCTTGGATTTCCTGTCTAATGTGTGTCGCGTTTCATTACGAGACTAATTTGTTTCCCCTAAACCAGGATTTTAGACACTGCCCTAAATGTGTTTCACAGAAGTGTGTGGTTGTTAAAGTAAGAACAATCGTCACCAGGTGTTTTTGCTAACGGTTCCTTTGACTTTCAGCGTTAGCAATAGCTGTGCATTGAATACTACGACAATATTTGGTGTTTGATTGATTCGGACTAGAAATATCATGGTACGTGTCCCTAGTATTGTTATAAAGTTATTCTTTATATCAACTGTGCAATTAACTTTTTAGAGAAGGTTCAAGAACCCAAACGAGTAAAGACAACGTGCCTCAATAAGACACATCGTTGGTGTTATGCAACGGTTCTAAGCACTGAATCACCGCAAGGCCCTATTCACTGTGTTTCTTCCACTGACACTTGGTCCTGGTCTCTGATTGGCCTGCACTATTGAAGTCATGAAGATGATCCCTGGCCACTGTGTCTATTTGACCGTGATCATACACCAGGCAACACCAAAGTAGATCTGTGACAAGGCTGTACTGTGAATATGGTTTAGGTGTCCAACACCTTTTGAAGGCATCACTTTAACTCCCTGTATTTATATTTCTTTTCCACACCTTTAGACAGGCCTGGCCACCTTCTTGCACTGCTGTGTTTCCACACCAGCATTATTAGGTGTACTTTTAGCATTGTGATATAGAACCCAGACACAGAGAGTGATGAAGAGTGTTTGCATTAGTGTTGTTGTGCTACAGCTACCACAGAAATGCTATAACTGTCCAGAGAAAGGAAGAGGTGAGCAGAGGTGTTGCACTCTGCACTCATCATAAGCTGTCCTCCGTTGCTAATTGTACCTTTAAATATTATGTTTTTCTGCCTCACAAGAAGTAAAAAAAAAAGGAGTGAAACTATTTAGAACCAGATATTTAATTTAGGGGACAACCTTAAGAAGATGATGTGAATACATCCTTTTTATATTCTTAAATCAGTTAGTCTTTTTTTTATTACAGGGTCAGGTGTTTTTGATTGTTAATGTTTTTGTTAAAATACATAACATACAACTTTTGTCAGAAGTTGTGAAGCTGTATCTCTTAGACGTTTTCGTTGGCCAGTTTGTAACACTGTGGTCAGCGTCTGCCTGTATGGCACCTTTTTTATGTGTGTGAATGTGAAGCCCAGATATATATGTCCTGACTATCAGGCAGAAGACGTGGGAGGCAATATTCATAGAGAGGTGCTTTTAGTGGGACTTTTATGAGAGACTTTTTTCCAAGACTAAGAGGTGGTTGACCACACACACAGTAAGGTTTCCTCAACTCAACACTGTGTGAGTGTGTGTGCGTGTGCATGTGCATGACTGAGAGTTCAGTCGCCCTTCCTCTCGGTGCTCTTACGTGGGCTTCCAGGGGTGTGTGCTTTGCTCCGTGTTTTGTTTCACAGAGCCGAACCCCCGTGCTGCGGAAGTGTTGCCGGAAGCAGTGGGAGCTCGCCCCCAGTTCTGCGTCAGTGCCACTAAAGAAAGGATTGGGGCTTTCCGGGAGGACAGGGGGAAGGGGGAGGGGAGCTGTCAGCCTGAGTATGTCATGGCCATGTGGGTGGTTGTCTACATGGTCACACACACACACACACACACACACACACTCACACACACTCACACACACAGCACTATAGTCACGACTGCTCTAAGACAAACTATTCTAGTGTACTCTATAATGCTGGCATGCTCCAAGTAAAATCCCCCTGCCATACAGGGGAATTCTAAGAAACAGGTGTGTGTGTTGTGGGAGGGGGGGTGTCTGTGTATGTGTGTGTCTTTTTGTGACACTTATTTGGCATTGTGTACTTGTGTTTTACCTGAAAGTTTACTTCATTATCTCACCTCAAATACTCTCTTCTGACTGGGAGACAAATGTGTCCACTGGTTGTTCTTCTGAGTGAGAATGTTCTGCTGATCAGAATTCAGTAGCTGCTGCGTGTCTGCTGCTCTGCTCTCCCTTTTTGATAAGTTTGTGACTCTAGAAGGACTTGGAAATTAAAGTCTGACCAGCATTTGTGTTTCTGACCCGTGTTGGTGTAACGTTGGATAAAAACGAGTCACACTGGGGTTCAACAGACTTCTGTGAATAAAGTCAATCCTCTTTTATATCTGTGCACAGGGACAAGGACAGTAAACAGTCAGGGTTCAACAGTGAGGCTTAACTGTTGGTATTAAAGTGCTGACTGAAATATGAACTTCCTGACTGATAGCTGTGGTGTAACCCCTTTAAAATATAGACCACTAATGAAAGAAGTTAAGGAGTCAAGTCACTTAAATTTGTGTAGTCCAAAATAATTTAAAAAATCCCTGAATAGAGATTACAGGTCAACATTGTAGTAACTAGTAATTTCCCACTACTCCAAAAATACAGTTGGCAAAGACATATAGATAGTGCGTCTTGAAACATCTATCTGGGACAAAAACAATTTAGCTTCACAGGAAGCTTTATTAGTAACTGCAGCGATTACTGTGAAAATCTGTTTGATGCAGTATCAAACATGGTATCTGTTTGATACCATCACGTCAAGTGATGGTATTTAAAATGTCGGTGTGTAGAATTATTTTTTCTAAGTAAAAATGTTGTCAAATGTCACTCAGCTCGTCCAACTTATCAAAGTTTGTCACAGCATCTGTCTGTCCTCAATCTTTTTGAACTTTACGTAATATTAACTGTGGCCAAAGTGAAAATAGAACCGGGTGGTCTCCATACAGTCCACTGTTTTAAAGATATGTATCTGTCATGCCACTGTAGCTGCTTCTAGATAGTTATTAGTTTGTGTCCCACCAACACAACACTGGAGTTTGGGCACTTCCTTCCCAAAGCCAGACGGTGTGAAACAGTAGCAGGAGTGTAAGAAAGTCATCCACTGTCCTCAAATACTGGAGCAGAACTTGTAGAAACCCATGACAGGAAGAAAGAAAGACGAAAAACCTCTTTTTTTGGCAAGGCATGAAAAAAGAGAGTGGGAAGAAATGTGCAGAACTCTGTGGCCTGCTCATCCTGGGGGATGTTTTCATCTGCCTCTGTCTCTCCCCTCAACTTTTTTTTTAATGTCTGCCATTTGAGAGACTCCAGAGGGGCTGCACCTGTTTGCCTCTTGGCTAGGAGCCCCTAAATCCCTCCTCCTGCCCCTGTCTGCCACTCATGCTGCTGCACCTCCTGGGATGGAAATAGCGAAGGAAGGAGGGATCAGGGAGCAGCAGTGGAGAGCAGGGTTGCGTGTGGTGGAAGGCATAGCTAGAGGGCTCGAAGGCATCCGGGAGTAAGACTCGTGACGTAGGAGCAGACAGGGCGGGGGGAGGGGGGGTTATCATTACTTCAAATACATGTCCACTTTCCTAAAAAAGACACTTCCTGCTGTGAGGCCAAGAGCGTCAGTGATTTTTTTTTTCTTTTTCATTTTCTTTCCAAACAAACTCACGTCTGCTAAACCAAGTAATCCTGTTATTCTTATGCTGTTCCATAATTCCCTAATCTGGCCCAATCTTTTATATCTCTTACTTTGTCTCTTCCATCTCATTAAGAGGTCCATCATGATCTGCAGTGACCCCTTCAGGCTCTAATAAAGGTTCTATAATATTTACTAAAGGTTATTAATATTATTTTTTTAATATAGTACCATATACTAATCTGCAGCAGTGTAACCCTCTGTTTGTATTTTCTTCTTCTGTCTTTCTTCTGAACGTTGCCATTATGTGTTGTGGTTTTAGGATTTAAAAGTTTGAAAAGAACCTAACTTCTCTTAGCTGCTCGTTCTGCCCCTAACAAGTTGTTGTAAATTTCTACGGAACACTTTATTATCAAGAATAAATGCAGCGGATAACAGAACTGAAATAGTTTTCAAAGTTCTATTCATAGACATAAGGCCTTGTTGTTCTTTTCTGAGGATGTTATATGGACTTTTGCTGCAGAACAAGTTTTTGCCTTTCATAAATTATTTTATGACAAATAAATGAAAATTTTAAATTTTATTTTGCAAATCCTTTTAAGTAAAAAAAAGTTTTCTGCTTACTTTACTTTAGTATAAAAAAGTTGTTAAAAAATTCTAAAGTTTGTCCAGTGACATGTTTCCTTGTAATAAATTGTATTTGTAGTCTTTGTTTATCAGTGTGTGCTATTCAATCCAGGAACGTTTCTGTCCCTAACACAGTTCTGTCCCTTTTTTTTCCAGAACCGTGGACGCTTGGCTGAGAAACGCACCATTCCCCTTCCTCCCAACCGTGTGCCTAAGAAGGAGCTGGCCTCCATCTTCAGCAGTGACGACAGTGAAGGCAGTGAGCGGGCTAGTGGGGATAATGCCCACATCAAACAAGAGGACGAGTTGCAATACAGTATCATGAAAAAGAGGTGAGGCTGATCTGATCACTGACGTCTGTCACCATGGCTGTGGTGTCATCCATGACACAGATGTTTGACTGTTTCTTTTTTCTGACTTTTTATCGTTCTACTTCAGTAGCCAACGTTCTAAGACTAAACCTAAGGCTCTTCTTAATAACTGATTTATTTCAAACATGAAAGAACTGACATAAGAAACAGCCTGATGTGCCATAGACAGATATAATGCAGAATTTGCTCATTGATTAACCTCAGCCAGTCCCCAGCTGCATAATAAGCAGCTTGTGCAACCTCATTATGTTGGAGGATGTTTTTCATCTCCTGAGACTTGCGTGTGACACGGTGGACAGCACGGCAACTTGTGAAGCTTAAAATGGATCCACTAACCTCATTTGAACGGCTTTCCCCTCCCCCTGACACTTGTGCCGCCGGCGTGTTAAGACGATAATGAATTTAAAGAACACTTATGACTAATATGTCAAGCTTTTACCCTTTGAAAGGCGGCGGACTCACTGGAGCCGCTTCTACTGCGGTCTGTCCCGGGCATCCGTCTCAGCCGTGTTTTATCCCTTAGTGCAGGTCTGGACGAACGGGATAATGGGATGTCCAATCACGGAAATCTTATTTCCATTGACCGCAGCTTCGTAAGTGAGTCGTAGAAGGGTCTTAACAAATTGGATTTGGCCAGTGGATGCAAAAAAATACAGGGCCTCTGTGTGCATGTGTGAGTGCATCTTTGCTGTCTCATCTACACATCATCACGGTTCGCGGCAGCCTTGTGTCTCACCCATTAGTAGCCCATTGTGTCTCACCCATTAGGATGGCTACTAGATAGTAAAAATTAGCTTTTAAAATTCTTGAATAATTGAGATTTTAGTTGACTCTGACTTTTCTTTGTGAACAGATTTGATGAAATACAGACGTGGTTTACAAACAAAAAGTCAACAGCTTCCTGTTTTTATTTTTATATTTAACTATATGCTCGATGGCCCTTTCAGGGTATTTAGGTTTGTTGTTGTGCTTGGTGACTGACTTATTGACTAGAAAGAACTTCTTTATGGAGCAATACATGTTTTATCCACCAGTTTTGACCAGTTCTTATAAACTTCTGACAAGAACTTAGCCCTAAACTGTGACATTGCCTCATCTATGACTTACCAAACTTGCCAAAAACTCTCTGGTGTATTTTTATCCAGCTTCTGTCTGAGGTAACATGCTGCATGTGATTTTAATTTTTTAACTTTGTCCATAACACCTCTGCCTCATCTTCAGACCACTGCTGATTTAGAAAATATATATATATATATGTAAATATTGAGTTGCATTTCAAAACAGTTCATTATTGAGCAGCAGAAAAAATGTATTAGTTCAGGAAGGTGTTTTGAGATATCACTCTTTAATTCTGGGTCCTGCCACTGCTTTTTCATTTCTCTTCTTGTCCAGTCTAATGTGGCTCACGCCATAGGAAACACTGGCTAACTGACTATTTTATCTCAGTCAGACACACTAATGATATCATCACTATCATTCAGTAATGTGAACATTTTGTGTAGAAATGTTTATAGCAGTCTGGTTCTGGAATATTTGTTCACCTCTATGAGAGACGATACAAGTTGTTGCTGTAGGGTCTGAGAACGCCACTGGACCGACTTGTTACTTACTGAAAGATTAAGTGTTGATTGTAAAAACTAAACAAGCACACGTTAATGAGATGTTGCAAATACATAACCATATTTTTTACCATTACCATAATGTATCGTGCCATCCAGTAAGTTAACTGTCACCATAAAACATAATGGGCTAAATTACCTTATAATTCCTAGTAAACTATGACTTTGTATAACAGTAAACAGCAGCCTGTTTGGCTTGGTCTGTTTGTCTACAGAGGCTGGTGTCGTTTTCCCTCAGGTTCATTATCAGCCAGTTCACCTGCTTTTTTTTCTAGATTAATGCTAATAGTTATTTAGTTCTGTATAAAGCTGTGAAAGTTGTGAAACCCTGCTGAAGGAGCACGGAGCACCTGGACTCCAGAGGAGAAGCAGCCAGGCCACAGATCTAACCCAGTAATCACAATAAGATATTGATACCTTAAGCTCCTGTGTGGCTCCGCCAAAACACTACGGGACAACGAGGTGGAAAGTACAAAAGCTTGTCTCGCTCACTGTAGATTGTGACTCGGATTTGTTAACACTGATTTATAGATTTCATCCTCAGCGCTAAATATTTGATAGCAGCACCATGGGGTTTGGTGCCTGACCGAAGTGCAGAACAAAGCTTACCTTGGTGTTTGTTAGAGTTGGCCTTAGATAACAAAGGCTTTGATCGAAAAGTGCTGACTGAGAGTCTGGGTAATTACCCAACAACCACTGTGGATTTTATAAGTTACACACACTGACGTCGACTTTTTGTCCGTGTCCTTTACCTAGAAAAAAATGAATGAGAAAAAAAACCCTCCACCAAAGCTATTATGTTATTGAATGAAAAGTTTTTTCAGTGTCGCAGACATGATCTACTTCATCAGTTTCTCTTATGGGTGATTCCATCCACACAAACAAACAAATTATTTACTTCTGGCTCAGTAATTTATCAGTGGTGAATCAGTCCAACACTGTTCAGTAGATCAACAGGAAGACAGGCTGTTTACTACAGAGGAAGGCATAAAGAATTCCAGACTGTTCGATAAGTCTTACTGTCAGAGGGTTTGACTGGATCTCTCAGTCAGGTCTCCTTTGTTTTTCTGTTTTCTGACCCACTCAGAGGGACAGAAAGCTGTTTGAAACAAACAACATGTTGAATTTAACATAAGGTGCTGGTGGTGGTTAATGGTCTTCAAAGAATACGGTTCTTGTCAGACCGTACTAGGACTGAGATTTAAGAGTTTGTGTCACATGATCTATACAAGAAAAGTTCTGGTTAGTAAAAGTAACTAAAGGAAAAAATAGAAAAAAACACCATGACGTTTCATTTAGGGTTTGTTTTAAACCTGCAAAAGGAGATTCTGTCCATTTTTTATTTATCATTCATTACTTTTTTAATCTAACAAACTTGCCTGCAACTAACTGTCCCGACCACCAACAGTGTAGCATTCGTGTGGTCGTCCATTTTATCGCATTTATTTATTTGCTCATTGAGACGGTAATTCAATAGTGATTAAAATAACTACTTTTTTTTAAAGTGTGACACAGTAAACTTTAAAATAAAAGCCAAAAGTCGGTACCTATCCTGAAACTGAAGCTGATCTAAATTTTTGTGATTATATATGGTTATATTCACATAAATACCAACCATAATAATTGTTTTGCCCTTTGCATCTCAGCTCTATGTTTAATCCAAGTGTCTCATATTTTACATATAGGTGTCGTTGTCATTGTAGAACCACAGACAGATATCATTGCTGAGTGAGCAACTGTACTCCTCCAGCGTTAGACATTTTCTCCTTTGGCTTTATTGAGCAACTGTGTCATTGCCTTGTGCCAGTAAGGGGTCATGCACAGTGTGAAATTACTGGAAATGTCTCTCCCTTAAAGTACTAATTAGTGAGCTGGGAGGTTTTATAGATTTCTACAGAAGCTTTTTGCTTGAAGAATATTTTCTTGGCCTTGTTTACACGTGTTGACCGTGGCAACAGTCAACAGTCAGCAGTTGTTGATTGGGCGTTGGCTTTGGAAGTTCATTGTTTCCACATAGAGTTGTATTCTGTTCAATAACTCCCTGTCAAAACCATTAGTATTAACAGAGGGCGGTCAGCTGCAGGGCAGAATATATTTCTTTCTAACAGAGGCTTTTTTGTTGTGATGAATTTCCTTTATTGTCATCGTACATATGTTTTTGGGATTTTGTTTTAGGTTTTTTAGCTTAATTTCTTTTCTATTCTATTTTTTTGCTAAAAAAGCTACACGCTAACTTTAAACTTGTTTTTTGGTCTTTTAACTTAAATGTGGCTATTTGGTAAATATTGGTGACAACATTTTTGGATGACTTCTGACAAAGTGTATCTTTCGACAATATTTACTGTTTATGAGTGGCCTCTATAGAATAAAATAGAATGTCAGTTAACAGTTTAACAGATTGGCATGTTTTCCACAAAAGGTATTGGATAGGTAAATAATAATAACACACCGCTACTGAAACCAAATCATTTTTATTAAAGCCAAATAACAAAAAATCATGACACAGAACAGCAGACAACCAAAATGCAATATGGACGACTTACAGTTGTTGTTTTTTTACTTATTGACTTTCTGTCAATCTTCCTAACAGTAAAACAACTGGGAGAAAGGGAAGGCCAAGTGGAACAGCCTTTCTGTCTTATTTATTCCTGTATCTACTTCTGTATTTATTCATTAGCTCTCCCCTCGCAGAGGTCTTCACTGTGTCTCTATTCCACGGAGTGTGCAGCAGGGCAAATCAGACAAAAGAATCTGGAAGTAGAAAAAAAATGTGAATATAAAAGAGATATTACCTCCTTTAGATGTTATGTCTAAATGTGATATCACAGATAGTGTATTGAATAAAATTAAGATACTTATTTGTCTGATTTGGTTCCACATCATATGATATTAAAATGTCACTGAATATTAATGTCCTGCATTGTAGACGCCAAGTCCTGAGTCACTTGTTTTACACGGCTGCGTTATGATTAGCAACAACTACGGCGCCAGATGAAGAGCGTTCACACGGACCTCGTGCAAGAATATTCAGCGTTTCAGTGAAGCCACTGAATACGGCTTAAACTTAAACCATTGCTTCTCATCGCTGCCCGATTTGCAAACAGCACCACTGTCATCGAGTTTATGTAACCGGAGCAACCAACACAGCGAAAGTCTGTTTCAGAAAAATTATATATGTATATTTTAATTTCCCGATTATATGAAGTTTTAATAGCTGTGTTGTGATTCGTTTCTCTCTCTCTCTCTCTCTCCTCTCTCTCTCTCCACCTTCACCTCCCATGCTGTGCGTCTGTCAGCACTTTCCCAGTGCTGGTGTGAGACATGGCGTCAGGGCGCCTGGTCTGGCAGCTCACTGCCAACTAACGCTGTGACCTCCAGCTACATGTGCCACGGCCACAGCAGGCCACTGCTGAGAGTTTATACACAGTCCACTGTTAAGCTGCTTCTCCAACACATACAGAAAAACAAAGATGTTTGAGCACCAATATGCAGAACATTGCCCTGACTTCCTCTGTGACTTTCTGTCACAGGTATTCCA